GGCTGTTTGTTCGGTAGTAGAGCAAGACAGTCAGCGTTGTACTCCTCTGGATGCCGCTTCCGACGATGCAGGGAAACTCCGCGTTGTGTGGTGAATTCCGACGTGCAGTTTGGGCAGCGGAAGCCGAAAGCGCCGACCAGGTGCTGCAGGTGGACCGTAGGGTTGCGGTCGTGTGTGCGTTTGTGGATCGTCCATCCGGTCTTCGTGGTGAACGTTCGCGGGCAGTGGGGGCATTGATGAAGACGGGGCCTTGGTTCAGTCGAGCTGGAATTTTCGTCTGCTGGGGCAGGCGAGTTGGTCGTGGTTTGTATAGGAGAACCAGCAAGACTGCCGTCCAAGTGGATTTGGACGGGAGTCGAAGGAGAACAGGATTGCTCCTGTGCCTCGGGCCGTTCATAGGCTCCTATCCGCGGCTGTTGGGACATGTTAACAAGGGGGGTGGGAACAAACAGTTAAAAATAGATACATAAACAACTAAATAACTAATTACATAAATAAATTAATAAATAAGTAACTAAAACTCGGTGGCTAGCCCGCGGGAGACATGGGACTAGCAAACACCGGTGGGAAAGAAAAAGACATACATATATACAAAACTCATGCCTACCTCAATGCGAAGTGGGAATGCAATACAATACAAAGGTCCATGTGAATACGATAGACAATGTTGATTGATATGAATAGCATTTGCCTACTAGCATTTGCAAGTAGACAAAACAAAACAAAACAGTTGTATTGTGGTGCGGTGTTTGGTATTGTGTTGTGTTGTGTGAGAACAGTGGGTGGAGGATGGGTGTGTGGGTGTGGGAGAGGATGAGAAACAAAGACCGTGCAATCGATCGATCCAAGGTCAGCAGCGGTGGAGACCGTGCGGTCCGTGCAGCCAGCGCCTCAGAGTGTGAGCGCAGCGAACGATCGGGTTGATCGGTGTATGGGCGCAATGCGTGGTCAAATGGGTGCAACAGAGTGAGGATGGGTGCAAAAGTGGGGACTGTGTGGGACGTGTTTTTATGAGAACCACAAAAGATAGGAATACGCGGTAAAAACCAGCGTGTAGAGGGCAGACCACGGTGTAGAAATATATATATAGAAGATGTGTGTCATACAAAACACAGTGTCAGTAAGGCCTGAAATTAGCACGCAAATGCCAGGACAAAAGTGAAAAATATACAAAAATCACGAAAATGGACACAAAGTAGATGAACTAGTTGATAAAACGTGAACGAATACATACACCAAACGAGGAGGAGTAGAGACATATGCGATAAGCAGTGAGAATGTGAAATAATTGGTGACTTATCTCGGAAAAACGGAATTTCGACGTTGGAAATGTGCAGGAAAAGGACCAATCCGAAATCCTCGGTGTAAAATAAATCCCACGACGTTGATAATCGCGAAGGAAGTAGAAGACGACGAGACGAGTCGAATGATTCCAAGATGGACGAAATTCGACGAGATTGGACGTAGTTACGACGTGAAGAGAGGGAGAGCAGGCGCACACACGACCGTTCGGTGATCAGACGAGAACCGGTGTTTCCAACGTGGTATGGTCGCGGCCGAACCACCATTCACTAACAACAAACTACAACCAAACACAAACAACACAACACAACACAACAC